GAGAGAGAGAGAGAGAGAGAGAGAGAGAGAGAGAGAGAGAGAGAGAGAGAGAGAGAACCCGCAGCCAAACTCGTCGTCTCTCTCTCTCTCTCGCTCTCTCTCTCTTTCTCTCTCTCTCTGTCTCTCTCTCTCTTTTCCCCGTCCCATGCGCCCCTTTCCCTATTCTTTTTTTTTTTTTTTTAACAAAGAATGTTTTTTTGATTTCTTTTTTCGTGAATTTTTTTTTGGGGGCGGAAATTGCACCGACCGGGCGCTGCGACTTTTTTTTATAGCTGGGCGAGGTACTGGTGGTTTAAGAGGCACGTACTATACCATGTATGTGGACCTAACATACATACAACATACATACATACATACATACACTTATACATACATACCTACATACATGCATACATCCATACATACATGCATAAATTCTTCTAGACATACATACGTACACACATACATACATACGGGTGCTAAGAAACTTTTATATACAGATATCCGTACACATACAATGTCGTGGATAGGTACTCCATATAGACATAAGTACATAAGTGCTGTTACGTTGGCTCTTCATTACACATGGACTGTGAATGTGTCATCAGTTCTATTATTATTTTAATAATAAATAGACAAACAAATAAATAAATAAAAAATAAATAAACTATGTGCCCAGAGTGGTCGGGAACTTGCCCAGCCGGCCAAAAATGAAACATGAACTAAAAAAACAATATTTCTTTTGTAATTTTTTGTTTGACAAAGAAGTTCTGGGGCAAAAGTTCTTCGGTTTGTTTTTCTGCACAACATAGTTTTATCCCTGGATTTTTAAGATCCCTCACATACAGCTATTATGACCGTACCTTGTATTCGGGGGAAGAAGGTAGTCTTAGTGATGAGCTGTTGAAATACAGACGTGAGTTCGAATCGGGATGAAACACGACAAATCGAATCGAATCGAATCAAATCAAATCAAATCGAACAATCTCCGACATTGATATCTCTAGGCCGTCACCCTTTTGAACAAGAAGAGAAAAAATTAGGAAAAAAAAAAAAAAAGAACGGACATTTTTCGAAGGATAAAAAGGAGGAGGGGGGGGCCCGGGGAAGGTCGTTTTGCCGACGAGAGAGGGACGTGGCGTCCGTCGTGATTGACCTTCTCCGGCCATTGTTGATTATCTCGAAAAAAGTGGACCACATTCAGTTAATCATCATCACAGGTCGAAGACATACACCCCACGAACAATGAGCGCCGAGATGTTTGCGGCGTCAACCATTTAAAGACAGTTCACATGGCAACGAAGTGAGACTATGGGCCTCGCTGCACTACTCTGAAACGTGCAAAACGAGAGTGAATCTTCCGCTAGAATATGGAAAGATACAAGGCCATGATGTTTTTGCGCATTTCAAGAGCAGTGCAGCGAGGCCCTATACGGGGCCTGAACTTGGTCTTGTTTGTGGAGATGTCCAGAGATGGCGTTGAGTTTTCTCAACTGCACGTCTCCACAGACAGGTCCACATTCAGCCGTTGAGGAAACTCAACGCTGCTAAGAAGAAGACGAAGAAGAAGAAGACTTGAATTGAATTGAAACAAAAAAAAAAAAAAAAAAAAAAAAAAAAGAAAAAAAAAAAAAGAAAAGAAAAGAAAAGAAAAGAAACAGCACGGCCAATCAGCTAAACACGCATATTCCCCCTGGAGGCTGATGCTCTACACGTGGAGACTTATCAAGGGCCAACCACTCTCCTGCATCCACCGTAGCAATCCACCCAGAGCATCTGGCCTTGCCCTCAGAACGCATATAGCTGGTACAGTCTCCACATCCGCACCGTGGCGGCTCGACTACTGCAACTGGCTGGGCGGGTGTCCACTAAGCTCTCTTGTAAAAA